TATTCTTAAAATTTATTTTTTCACAAAAGATTGCATTGTCATCAGTTTCTAGGCTACCCTGAAAGTTTCAGGTTGATAGCTAGTTGGGAAGTGAGTGAAATTTGAGTTTCAAAATTTGATCCGGACAAACAGACAGACAGACAAGAAAGTGAGTTCATAAAAACATGGTAAAAAAACGTGGTAAAATACAGTATATTCTACCCAAGGAATTCGAATTTATGCATTTTAATGGAAAATTTGTAAACCTGACCTTTTATATTATACGCACATAGCATGTTCTAATCTTGAAAGGGGAATATACAGTACGTGTTTCAAAAAGCTAATTTCGCATAAATGAAGTTTAACGAGTAGTATCTGAAAATGACCGCATTAGACACCCGTGCTTCTGAGAAAATGTGCAGAATAAAAGAGTCAAAAGAAATGGAGGAAAAATGGGGCGCTGAAGGCATTGTTTGCGAGTGACGATCTGTGTCAGATTTTTCCAGCCTTTGGGAACTGAGTAGTATGGAAATCCGACGTCACACAAAATTTTATTTGTATTTCTTGGCAAGATTACCCGGAGATCGGTTACAATTTCGATTTATGCCATAGTTTTCTTAATTACCGTGTCATTTTGCTTGTAATTAAATCCTATCACATTTTTTGAAGCCTAGGAGAATGGGATGTACTGGATAAGTTAGCCTCGAAATTTGAAGCGTGTAATTTAGCTTGGCCGTATACGAATACGACTTTACCACAATGGATGACATGAACGAGTGAGCATCAGCATTTTCGGGAAGAGACCGACAATCAGCTCGTTTGAAAATTCGAAAAACGATTAAGAAATGCCAAATCCAATAATTCGCAATACGATTATTCAAGAAATTATGCAATGATCTCATCGTGATTTAACCCTTTTTTTTTTTTTTTAATCTCAGGTCGATGATACGGCCAAGCTAAATTACACGCTTCAAATTTCGAAGCTAACTTATCCTGTACATCCCATTTTCCTAAGCTTCAAAAAAATTTATGATAGGATTCTATTACAAGCGAAATGACACGGTAATTAAGAAAACCATAGCATAAATCTAAATTGTAACCCATCTCCGGGTAATAATACCAAGAAATACAAATAAAATGTTTCATGACGTCGGATTTCTATACTACTCAGTTCCCAAAGGCTGGAAAAATCTGACACAGATCGTCACTCGCAAACAATGCCTTCAACGCCCCCTTTTCCTCCATTTTGTGTGACTCTTTTATTCTGCAAATTTTCTTAGAAGCACGGGTGACTAATGCGGTCATTTTGAGATACGAAAGAAAGGCGACGGGTAATGGTTTTCCCCCCGACGGGGGTAGCAAAAGCACTTCTCTGTTGCGTGTCGAAATAGCCCCAGCTTTTGAGCGGTTTCCCCTTCCAGATGCACGCCAATACTGTATCGGTCAGGGGTTATTTTTACCATTGCTTTTCATTTTATTTTATTTTTTCGCGAGAAGAGGAATTCCTAGCATGGGTTAGTGTTTCTCGGGGGCTCGCGGTTGATGACCGCAATGAACATGTTCCCGACCAGCAGCTGAAGGGAATGACCGCTGAACAATATTGATTGAGCGACTGGGTTCCATGTCACCCGCCACACATTCAAAAAAAGAATTGGAGCATTATTCAATCCATACAAAGAATCGCGTGTGTCTGTTTTGTTTATGCATTGGAATGAAAACTTGAATTTTTCATCCTCTCCATTTCTCCGAAAAGTCTTGTCCACAGTAATTGTTGAGGAGAAAACGAGAGAGGAAACCAATGAAGGTTTCCTCCTCAATGAAAACTACAAATAATTCAATTTTGAGTATCTCAGTCTGTCCTAAACTCTAAACAAAAATTATCCTTTTATTCCTGGTGATTTGTGTGCACAAATTTGCTACTCCTGTGGTATTATTCAAATCTGTCTTGTGCAATGTATTCTTATTCTTGGCATTCAACTTGATCATAAAATAAATTATTGAAAAACTAGGAACAAATATTCAAGGAAACCCCTTGAATATGTGTTCTTGGCCTTAAAGGCTGATTGCCTGCATTTTTATTTTTATTATTTTGTGATCCTTGATCACAGTAATTGTACACACTAGCACTGCACTTCACCCTCGAATTTGAATACTTTGTAGATCAACCTTGGTTTATTTGAATATATCACTGTTTCAGAATTATAGTTGGACTCTCTCTTTCTCTGCAACGAAATTCAAGGGACCAGAGAAAAAAATAGTTGCAGAGAGAATTTCGTTGAAAAGAACCCCTTTAACAACACTGGGAAAGAACCCCATGGGACTGCAAAAAATCGCTGTACAGAGAATATCGTCGTAGACAAGATCTTTGTAAAGAGAGAGTCCACCAGTACTGCTTCTTTTGAACTTCACATTGTTGGGAATTTCGTCGTACGAATAAATGTGGACGTAATTTTCGAAACAGATCGTAATGATTCATTATTTCCCCAGCTTCTGTTCCGATAATTTCTCAGGTATGTTGAAATTCAGGAAAAATAAGACCCCAACATTTGACCACATAAATGCGACGAAATACGTTGAAATTTCACATTCACATGTTGTGCCTTTCATTTGGAAGTTTCGATAAAGTTCTAATTATTTGAAATAAATCTTACACATCCGTAGTCATAATGGTCAAGATCCAATTGCAAAAAGTACTGATATAAAACTTTTTCGAGTGTGGTGCTGAATGCGAAGATTGCATACCATGGCAAATTATGTGCAAGAAAATCTTTAACTCAGGACTGTAATTCAACATCATTTCCAGCAATCAACCCGAAATCATTTGAAACTTTCCTCAAAATTCGCTTTCATAAGAGTTTGGACTTCTGACTCAGGAACGTGGGCGCCTCAAAAATTATTTTCAAATTATGTGAATAAACTTTTGATCAATCCCTTATTTCATGGTGACAAAAAGTGTGATGCTTTTTGGGATTGACGAACTTTTTCGAATGTCGTGTCAGATTTTGGAAAAAAAAAAGCAAGCACTTCGAGGAACAAATGCTACTTGCGTCTTTGAAGTCATCAAAAGCACATATAACGAAGGATCGCAGCAACTAAATTCAGCACAGTACAGTATATAAATGCATAACAATCTGAATGATTATGGGTTTTAACTTGAAATGGACCTTTCGTTCAACATTTTCTGCTAGATTTTGCTCGACTTACTCGCCATGAACGACGGATAATTAGCCTTCTGAAGTCCTATCCCGAGACACGAAAAAACTCGCTGTATTTCCGTAAAACCTTCAGCATATCCATCCGTAACTTAACTGAACCATCAATCATAAAAAATATAGCGAAATTTCGAAAAAATAACCCGGACATTGTCTGAAATAGTCTAAGGAATGCCTCAGTCTCGTCGATAAAAAAAAATGAGTCTAATTTCGCCGCTTCTGACGCCATACTTTTATTCCCACTCCAGAAGTTAATCAAGCTGTCACTCAACCTGATACAAACGACGGAACAAATTCTGCTTCAGGCGAATCTCACATTAAAATAAGAGGGAAAACTTCAGGCGAATGAATAAAAAAAAAAAGGGAAAACCTGAAACTTCTACGTCTACAACCTACGCGACTCAAATGTACAATTTCCAACACCTAGACAAAGTAAATTGGATAAGATAGGTCACGGAAAAATCGTATCTAACTCGCGGAAATGTTTTTTTGTTGTTGTGAAAACTTGGTGATGGGGTTTAAAGATAATTTTCAACGACCTTGAGAGACATTTTCTTTTCAATTTACGGATTCGATGCTCGAATGCCACAAAGCAGGATTCATCGAATTTCTCATCACCAAATAATCTCCCGAGATTCACTCGGGCGGAAAACTGTGAAACCCTAGTGTTTCGCAATCGGAATTGGGTCGCTATTTGCGAGCGAAGTGAACGTGACCCGAGACGAACATGTAGCTGACCTCGACATCACTCATTTCCAAGTACTTGGACAAAAAACTTGCTGAAACATTCAAGCAATGCAGGAGCTTCGGTTCTTATTTGAATAACTCACGGATTTGCGGTGGGCATAGTAGCGGCTGACACCGAGATTATACATCCTGGTATTTTTCTTCCGAGGGTTTTCTCGTTCGTTTCTCGCTGGCAAAAAACTCCAGGCAGCACCACGGTACAAAAGACTTTTCTCTTTTTTTCCAAAAGTTTGTTTTCGCGCGAATCAAAGGAATTGTTCCTGCACACACACACAACACTTGATAGGAATCGAGCACCCGTTACAGTCGCGCACCGGGTTCGTTTTCGCAATCGCACGTGAACGTCTCGTCAGTGAGCTCAGCACCGAACAGTAACAGCAGAAAACTTCATTTACTTTCACAGCACAGTAATTGTGCAAACCTGCATGCAGCTTGACAGCAGAAGGAAAAGAAAATAGAATTCACACGACGAAGTCAACGATGTGAAGAAGTGACGCGGTAACCGAACGCGCGTTGAATTTCGCGGGGAATAAAAATTTGCCTTTGCAAACGCTCGTCGATTTCAAAACTGAACGAGTAAACAAATAATAAATCCGTAGGACTGCTCAAGATTTAGTCAGCAAATTACTGCTTTATTGGGAAGAACACATTTTCAAAGCGATCAGAAGATCCCCAGAAAATATGTATAGCTTTAAAATTGGAAATCCAACATTGAACGAACCTAAAAATCTTACACATGAAGAAATTGAAGATACGCAATATACTGTAAAAAAAATCTCAAACAAATATGTTGACATTTTTTCACGAGGACATGATTGATAGCTAATTTTTTCTATAATTACGATTTTTTGTAAATAAACTTCTTTACGCATAAAAGAAGCTCATTTCCATACATTTTCGGAATTAAAAAAGCGTCATACGAGAAAATTTAACACAATTTTCCCGGACATTGATAAAATTTTTCAAACAAGTCTTGATAATCAACCTGGATTTCATTCAATATCAGAAAACAGCATTCATTCGAATGCCTGCATAAGAAGTCATTGATTATACGACGCACCTTCATTTTTCATGCTTCTAAAAGAAAAAAAATACTGCCCGCAAATTTTAGAAAAACTTCCGCATAAAAGAAGTCAAATAATGGCTCATCTGAGTCATCGTGATCGTGAAAACACAACCTACGTCATCTCTAGTCCTCCCGGGAGATGTCATCCTTAAAACAGCATTTTTGAATTTAATTTTATGGCTTGTTTTTATTCAGTTTAGAAGACGGTGCTGTAGTATTGTTTACACGTAATTCCTTTCACGTGACGATCCAAGGCACTATCACGTGCAAAACGTCAAGAAGCACAAGACACCGAAGTACTGTATTCACAAAAGTACCACACGCACTCAAGTAAGACGGACACCTTATTCTTGTTGATGAACTTGGGAGGAAAGCATGGCCTCGATGAAATGACGCACTCCATTTCTTCCTCCCAAAAATTGAAAAAAATAAAAAATGTTCATAGCAAGAAAAGAATTTAAACTCAAACAATACATGCATTGCATTGTTTTTCCCCTTTCATACAGTAAGACGCGCACTGATAACTTCGAGCCAGATTTTCTGAGACTCGAATTTCAAGTAAATTCGGTGTTCTAACAAGATTTTCCGCCTTCATCCCCAGCCGGAAGATAGTGTACGTCAATATAATATAAAAAATAATAATATAGAATGAAACAGGAACCCCCGGGAAGTTTTTGTATACATCAGAAGCACGTAGGGGAAAGCGATTTAACGCCGGATCCCGAAGTAATGACGGAACTATACACTTGTCGCGCGGAGAGGCGTCCATAAATCTTGAAACGACGCGACACAAGGAAAACACAATTTACACCGCTACCATGTGTATAGACGTCAGGGAAACAATCTATAGTACAGTACAAAAGCTACTGTGTGTCGCTTCCCGACCTCGATTCCGCGTCATCTTCGACAGCGACGCCTTATTTCGTATTCCCCGGGCTGCATCATGCAAATCAATGACCCGCGAGATTCATGAGATTAGTGGGTCCTCTTCCCACTCTTCGTCGATACGGAGGAAACAAACATAAGACGAATAAAAAAATAATACTGATCGTCCTTAGAACGTTGTTTTCTAGCCACCTTGAGGTAGTACTGTATTTTATTTTACTTCATTTATCATGCTGCAGTCACTCCATCATGTGATTCGGGCGCGCTTAAAAACGGAAGTGTTGATAATCAGCTGCAAAGGGGTCAAAACTGGGCTTTATTTGGATGACGAGTGT